ATATTATTTCAGAATTACAAGGTGAGGACTTCTAGGTGGTCGTTTTTGATACCTGGTGCTGGTAAATTTTTGGCCACTTGGATTGTGAAAGAAATTGTTCAAATTCTTACCTCCTGAAGGGGAACAAACTGTGCCTAAGAAGGGAAATGCGCCTTGAGTTTGGATCCAACAGTTAAGTTACAGTAACCGAACATTTTAGAGCATTTCTTAGCCATTGTAGCACAGTTGCAGGTTTTTGCGTTTTAGCCACAGATTTTAAGGAGTTAGTGAATTGTTTCTGGTTCTAAAGCTAGTAGCAAATTGAAGGTATTTGCATGTTCTTTTACATAGTTTTACTCTATGAGTTACATGTTTACTCATGTTTGAATTTCAGTCCACTTGAAATTGATTCATTCAAGGCATAACATATTGATTTCTTTAACTTCACACATTTCTCTCATTAGCATCTGTTGATCTTAGTGAATCCCTAGACTCCTTCCCCTGCCCCACAACATGTAACAGTCTTTAGATTATAATGTAGATGCAGATATTAATTTGTGGATTTAAGCCATGATTTATGACAAAGCTGATTTAAATATGTATTCGTTTTTGCAGCCAAAATAAGTTGACAGTGGTTACACGTCAATATTTAAATAAAGTAGTACTGCCATACTAGATTTCCATCTGCAAAAAGGGAGTTGGGATCATGACGCTCTTAATGTACCAGTTAAGGAATGATTTCAGTTTTGTTCCATCCCCTCCATTAATTCATGTAGAAAGCCACATAAAAAAGTAGACGAACTAAGAAATTTATTTTACAAAAACATGCTGACTCTTATTTTAGCTTGTCTTGAGCCTGCCTTTACAGCACCTTACAGTGTGGTTCCCTGTGGTATAGAATAAGGTTAAAAGAATCTTGACACAGCATCGTATTTTCTCTATGAATCCACATTATCTTCTCCTTAACTTAAAAAATTCTATATGCTTTGATCCAGTAGTTCTATTTCTAGGAAATTTACTTCAGGCAGTAATTGATATTGGAAGGAAAATAGCAAAAATATAAACCCTGATGCGGCATAGCAGTTTCATTTATCCTCATATGTAAGGGTACCAAGGGGTCCTTGTGCTCCGTCTTAGGGCACCTGTATACACCACTGCTGTTTGCCACTGTCTTCATTACTTCCTTTCTCCTGATCTTCATGTCGGTATTAGAAATAACAAGGCTTTGGAAGGTACTTGTAACTTTTCAAAAATATTATATGAAAACTAAACATGTAAAACGAAATACCAAGTATCTTCACTGATTTTTGTAATTCTCTTGACTCAATTTAATAATGCTGGGCAGCTCTTGTAAATGAGAAAAGGACCAAGAGATAGAGTAGAGAGGGAGGGGAGGGGAAAGGAAATTAAAAGAATTTAAATGTGTTATGTATGAATACTAACTACCCAAGATGAATTTAATCATTGTGTAATGTACTAATAAAAATAAAAATTTAAATTAAAAGTATATAATAGTAACTATAGTCAGCACATTAGTGTACTATACTAAAAATAAACATCTTCAGTGCTGCTTCATAGATAAATTTGTCAAAACACTTATAAACCTAGTGTAGTACAAAGTACATACTTGTAGGGTTGATCATACTTGGGGTCTGATCTAACTCTGTTACTTATTAATTGAGTAATCTTGGGGAAATTACTTAACCTTTGTGGTTCCAGCACTGATAAGTGGCATCGATAAAACTTGAATAAAATACTAAATAAAGCTTTATGAAATAAAAAGTCAGTCTTACCACCAGGCAATTATAAGTGTTTTGCATATATTTATTAACACATGTAATCCTTTCATAGCTCTTGGGTGAATCCATTTGTTAACCCCATTTTATAGATGAGGAAATTGAAGCACAGAGAAATTTTATATCTTACCCATGTCATACACCAAGTCATGGAAGAAAAGAGTTAAATCCAGATCATCCGGTCTGGTACCTGATCGCCTCACATTTCACTCTGGCCTTTCCAGCCAGAACAGTTCCTTATCCTTTATAGATGCTCATCAGTGGTACTTTAAATCTTTTAAGATAAATAAGAAGGTATTTGTAGGGATAAAATCATTGAGGACTGCTGGCTTAATCCTAGATTTGGTAAGGTGGGAAGCCAAGATTTTGATTGATATATTGTGAGATAGTAGGCAGGGGATAATTGTCTACGTATTAACTAGAGATTTATATTCTGCTTCTAGAACTTTATCTGTCACATATTAGGAACTTTCCTCAAGAGTAATTACATAAAATAGAGATATGGTTACAGGGCTGTGAATTCGTAAGACATTAGCTCTTCCTGGGAATTGTCTGTTCATTTTAATTTCCCGTTTTTTTATTAGATCTTTTATTTTGGGGGCTCTGATCTTTTTGAGTTCTTTATATACTCTAGATATTAGTCCTCTTTCTGAGGAATAGCTGGCAAAATTCTTTTTCCCAATCTGTAGGTTGTTTCTTCACTCTGTTGATTGTTTCCTTTGCCATGCAGAAGTTTTTAATTTGGTATGACCCCATTTGTTGACTCTTGGTGCTAGTTCTTGTGCAAATTCTATTCAGAAAGTCCTTGCCTACATCCATGTCTTCAAGAGTTTAGCTATTTTATTCTCTAGCAGATTGTTTCTTTTTTAACATTTAGATCTGTTTTGATTTTTAGTATGTGGTAAAGATATTGGTCTAGATTCTGTCTTCTTCAAGTAGACACCTTGAAGTACAAATGGCCAATAAATACATGAAAAAAATGTTCAGCATGTCTGGCCATTAGAGAAGTACAAATTAAAACAACACTGAGATTCTACCTTACTCCAGGAAGAATGGCCATCATCAAGAAAGTCAAGTAATAACAAATGCTGGTGAAGTGGCAGGGAAAAAGAAACCTTTCTGTATTGTTGGTGGAAATGTAAACAAGTACAAACTCTTGTTGGAAATCAGTATGGAGACTCCTCAAAAAGCTAGATATAGAAACTCCATTCAATTCAGCTATTCTTGTAGTTGTCTTCCCAGTAGAGTTAAGGACATCCTATTGCAGTGATACATGCATACCATGTTTACAGCAGCAGAACTAATAATGCCTAAATCTTGGAAGTGGTCCACATGTCCATCAACAGATGAATAGATAAAGAAAATATGGCATTCACATGCAATGGAGTACTGCTCTGCATAAAGAAGGATCAAGTTAAAGTCATCTGTAGGAAAATGATTGCACCTTGAGAACATAGTTAAGTGAAATAAGTCAGGCACACAAGCCTAAATATTACATGATTTCTGTTATATGAGAAGCCCAAAATAGAAAGAGCAAAACAAAAGACAGGTAATAGGAAATAGGAAGCTAAAATTTTTGCAGAAGGGAAAGAAATGAAGAGATGGAGGAAAGTGAGAAGGGGAAGGGGATGACAAAGGAATTAAGAGAAGTTATGTATGTGTACAAACTGCCCACAGTAATTGTAACCATTATGTACTGAAAAGCTACTAATACAAAAAAAAATTATATACACTTTTAAAATTTTATTTATGTATTTATTGGTACTGGGCATCGAACTTGGGTCCTTGTGCTTACAAGGCAGGCAGTGGAGCCACTGAGCTAAACTCCCAGCCCTATATATACTTTTTAAAAAGATATATTATGTACGTTTACCAACTTCACACAAGGAGTACAATCATTGTGTACTGCAAACATGTACCAATAAATTTTTTTGAAAAAACATTAGCTCTTCGTGAAAGTACCATAAAGGTTTAGAATTTGAAAATCTACTCGTAAAACCAATAGTTTTTCATAGGCAGAGAAACCACACTTGTTTTTCAAGTCATTAATAATGCAACAGTCACTTGGCCTGACTGAAGCCAGAAGGACATAAAGATACATGTTTTTAATTCCATCCTTGCTCTATAGTCGAAATCTCCTCACTGATCTTTGGAAACCCTGATAGAATTTTAGATCTAGAAGAGAAAAAACAAGATTCAGCAGTCAAGTAACCTTCTCAAAAGCACACATCTGGTAGTGGCACATGACCCCTCGCTGCCTTGGGCACTGCTCTTCATCACAGTACCCTGCTGGCTGTATCATGCTCTTCCACTCGGACACTTGAGGAACTTAAACAACATAGCTAAGTTCTTCACCCAATACTTAACTGAGCACCTATTACCTGAAAATCTTGCACTTAATACTGAGGGTATGAAAATGAAAAGTTCCTGACTCCAGTCACAGGAAACAGACATGTAAATAGATAATATGATATGAATGAGTATTACAATTGAAACACTTTTTCTTTTTCAACCTTATATTGTCATCCTACCAGATCACAAACTCCTCAAAGGGCCAAACCTTTGTGTGTGTTAAGTGCTTTGGATTGATGATGGTGTATAATTCTTAAAGGAGGAAATCAGATAACTCATTATAAAATAGTAATCATGAAGCAAAGCTCAAAACACTTTAAAAGCTGTTCTCTAAATGTTATGGCTTGTATCTAGATGTCCCCCTAAAGCCTCGTGGTCACAGTTGGGGCTTTTCAGAGGTGGCTGGATGTAGTGGGTATGGTGCTGGGTTCAAGGATGTGATGCTGGGATTGATTCATGCTGTGATGATAGGGTTACGGCTGCCTCTCCCTGGATGTGAGTGCTATGTGCCCTAAGGTGGGTAGCCTGGATAAGATAAGAGGCACAAGAAGAGGGTCCTACTCGTCACTTGTCAATGGCTACCTTCGGCCTGCAATGAACTCTTTCTCCTCTGCGATGCCCCGCTGCCCTGCCACCTTGCCTTGGAGCCAACTGACTATGAAATGAAACTACTACAAACTTTGAGCCAAATAAAGTTTTCCTCCTTTAACTTTAGGTGTCAGGTATTTAGTCTCAGCAACAAGAAAAGCAACTAAAACAGTAAATAACATTGACACACCTCATATATATATGAATTAATAGGTGACTTGCATTGCTAAGGTGTAAAGATTTGTGTTTGCATGCTAAAGCATTGTTTTCTTGCTGTTTTCACAGAGAAATTGCTAATCAAGTTACTATGAGTCTGTTAAACTGTGAAAACATCTGTGGATCCAGCCAGTCTGAAGGTGACTGCTGTGCTGCCATGGCCACCACCTGTGGCACCACAGCAAAAGATGACAGTGTGAGCGGAATGACCAGCACCAGCACAGGGAACCTGTCCAGCTCCTTCATGGAAGAGATCCAGGGATATGATGTCGAGTTTGACCCGCCCCTGGAAAGCAAGTACGAGTGCCCCATCTGCTTGATGGCCCTGCGGGAAGCCGTGCAGACACCCTGTGGCCATCGGTTCTGCAAGGCCTGCATCATCAAATCGATAAGGTCTGTGCACTTCAGCAGGAGCGGTGCCCTGTAACAGGACCAAGTGCAAATAACTTTCCTGCACAGCACACACATCCCAAGAAGAGTCTTAGATACAAAAAGCCACTTAGAAAAAAGAACAATAGGCAGAAAATTTTAAAAGATTCTTACACCACTTCCCACTATGCGACAGAAGGTGACTTGTCTCTCTTCCTTTCCCCTGACGTTCAGATAAATAAGAAAGTAAATAGCTGCTTCTATGTTAAACAGTTTGAATGCACACCGGGGGATGACTGTTTTAAGAAAATAATATTTTTAAATGTACCTTAAATGACACTAGTAGAATTTGATCATCTCAACCATCCAGAGAACACTGATTCTATAAGCGACCAGTTGTTCTGATTTTATCCATGGTAAATTCTGCCTGTTGTTTCGTATCTATAAGCAGTTGTAAAATAACCGATACATTTAAAGCAGTATTCAGTGAAGATTCTGCCCTCACTGTCTGTGTGTCCATAATCCAGTCTCTTTTCACTGCCTCCAGTATCTGTTCTGAATCACTATCAGCTCTAACCGGCCTTCTTACTTTTACCATCTCCTTCTTCCAGTTTCATGACAGCAGCCAGTGAACCTGGTAAAATAAGTAAGGTGATGTCATCTCTGCTTAGAACATTGCAGCAGGTATCTCGGAGTAAAATTTGAAGCCCTAGAAAGACATGTATGATAAATGCATGATTAATTTTCTGACCACACACACCCCTGTTCCCTCTCTTTCCATTCATTCCTTCTTTGCTGTTGGTGAAACATGTCAGGCACACTCCTGCCTCCATGAGTTGCTTTAGCTGTTCTTTCTGCTTGAAACTCTTGCCATGTCTAACCTGAATTCCCTTCAGTGTGGCTGAAATAACTCTCCTTACAGGTTCTGTGGCTACTCTATTTATACCACAGCACACACGCCTCTGTCCTATTTTCCTCAGCATGCCTGGTCTTTGTCAGGTTCTACTTTTTCTTTACAGCACTTCTGCCTTCTAAAACACAAGGTAATTTATGTGTCTTCTTGCCCCACTGGAAGCTAAGCTTCTTGAGAGCAAAATTTCAAATCTGTTTTATTTCTTGACATTTCCCAAGTGCTAGGAACACAGCCTTACCAACAACAGGCAGTCAGTAAATATGGTTGTTTTATCTGAAATACATGGGATTTCCACACATAATTCAACTTCATCTCCTGGAAAGTAGATACATTTTATTTATCTATTTATTTTATAACTCAGAAGTAAATAAGAATATTTTTGTATGACGAGTTCTGTATAGAACAAAAAAATTTGGAAGATTTATGTCTTTCGATAAAAAGACATCTAGTATATCAGTGAAATCATTCCTAAATAGTTTAAGTTCCTCTATGACTATTCATTGAGTATTTATATCTCAACTTTTACACTAACTTTTCTATAAAATTTGAAATTAAGGTCACTGTGTCCTTGCTCCAGACTTGGTGTCACTGCAGTTACGAGGGGGTGTGTCTGTTTCAGTTTTGGGAGAAATGTATTGCCTCGTGTAGAATTACAAGATCTTTTTATAGAGTAGGTTCTTTCAGCCTCACCACCACTGACGTTTTGGGCAGGATTGAATTTTCTTTGTTGCAGAGAATGTGCCCTGTGTTGTAGGATCTTTAGCCTGGTTTGTGTCTCTTGGATGCTAGTAGTGTGCACCCTGCCCCCAGCAGTGAGACCTACAATGAACCCTGGAAGCAAAATAGTGCCTGGTAGAGACCACTGGTTTAGGGCAGTGGTAGTGAACCTGTGGCACGCGTGCTACAGCCAACTGTTATCACTGAAAACGCTGAAAGGTTCACCATCCCTGGTTTAGGGTATACAGGAGAGCAGCGTTACAAGGACCAATCTCTTTTTTGTCTAATGACTTTTACTTATATTGTATTTAGGTTAAAAAGAGGGGGTGTGTTTTATCAAGTGTCACCCGTGCCCAGAAAGATGGCCAACCTTTAGCAGCTTTGTAATAGCAAAATAGGAAAGTAGTGGGACAGTGGTATGAAATGGAGATAAAACCCAAAAATGGGAATCTCAGGCTTTTTCACACTACCTCCCTCTAAGCTATAAAGGGCCACGCACTGGGTGTCTGATGGTCTTGAAGGAGTTGCCGCAACATTTTTCATTGACTAGTAGTTATTCAGGGACTCAAAGGACATCTCAATTTAATTCCATTTTCTTTTGGAATAGTTGCTAATATTCTGGATAGTTATTTTCAGTTTACTTTGTAAGTTTCTCATTTTCTTTTAGATAGATAACATTTTTGGCTTGGGGTATATATTTCAATAAATTTAATTACTACTTCCTGTGCTATCAGAGTGTACTTGACAATGTAATCATTACACAGTCTAAGAAAGGCCTCATGAAGATTACCTATGCCTCTTTACCTTAATGAGCTGTAAGGCATTTGACAGCACTGTTTTGCAGTCACCTTTCAGTCTGCCCTCTTGAGCACAGACAAGGTGCTCAGGAAATGCTTAAGTGATCAAGGTTCCTGTGGCCCACCTGACCTGTCACATTTTGTGAAGGGAGGCTGAGACAATCCCCCAAAACTTAAAAAGGAATGACAGGCACCACCTCACACAATCTGAAGATTGTTTTTCCTATTATAAGATGGGGGGCAAGCCACTGGAAAGTATAACATAGAGGTTCTTTAGCTTCCTCTTACGTGGGGCACCTGTACAAATTAAAACCTCCCTTGCTCGTGACTTGGAGTGTCTTAGTGACTGTTTCAGAGTACACACTCATACGAGCCTCGCAGTTAACTGCTTGTCGGTTAAATTTTCACTTGTGACTCAGTAGTGCACTGCACACGTGTGATTCGTGTTCTGAGCAGTGTGACCCATCGTAGTAGGTACTGCATAGGTGCCGTCAGGATGGAGGCCAGCCAGTCTGTCAGTGTGTCCATTCTTTCCTTTCATTTTATGCCAGTCAAAATACCACTTTATTCAGTAAGTGTGTGTCTTTTTTGAGCTGGAATCTGTCCTACAATCTAAAATCTCATGGTTTTTGAAGATGATCAATATGGCTCTAGTTTGTACTCATTTCATAAAAGTAAGTTCATAAATTATCCATAAAAGAGTTTATTTTGGTGTATTATATAGAATAACGTCGCATTATTTTGTATGATAAAGTCAGTTTTAATAATGTGAATGTTTAAATCAACTAATTGTTTCTTTTAGGGATGCAGGTCACAAATGTCCGGTTGACAACGAAATTCTGCTGGAAAATCAACTATTTCCTGACAATTTTGCAAAACGAGAGATTCTGTCTCTGATGGTAAAGTGTCCAAATGAAGGCTGTTTGCACAAGATGGAATTGAGGCATCTTGAGGTATTAAAGTCATTTTCTAGCTGTTTGCATTTGTGCCTGGCAGTTTCTAGAGAACAGAGATTGTGCTGTGTTAATTTGTGTATTCCCAGGACCTAGAACATAGTAGCTACCTTTTAAATTCTTGTTGACTGGTTATTAACCCTTTGATTTTTAAATATAAATATAAGGAAAAACTAGGAATTTTTTATTCAGTTTTCCCTAGCTCTTCCGTAGCAATAATAAAAAAAAATCAATGTTCTACAAATTTGGGGAGTATTATATAGGATAAAACTGATGGAGAGCATTTTAAATTCAGGTGTCACATTTTAATCCAATCACTTCATTTCTTTCATTTGAAATATGTAGTAAGTCTCATGTAATTATCGTGTCAGTGCCCTTGTTGGACTTTTTTCTGCTTTTCTAAACTATCATTTTATTATGAACTAAATGAAGTGCTCCTCCTTTCAGTTCATTTGACATGAACTGAAAACATCAGGTAATACAAGGATATGTTTTTCTATTAAAATAGATCAATTCTTAGTTTGGTGACTTTTACCCCAGAAATAAGTATTTTTAAATGTATTTGAAATTAAATGTTTAAGGCATATTTGCAGGGTGCACCCCTTTTACTTAGTCCTTTTTGAGGAAGTGGCTTTCTTAAAATAGCACTGAATCACTGTCCTGGAAGTCTGACCTCTTTCCCATTCCCTTCCCTAATTGAATGTATGAATTTGAGAATTCACATTCTGTATATAAACTTGCAGTCTACACGATTATTTGAAAACAATTCATTAAGTCCTTCATGTTGTGAAGAATGCTGTGTATAGTAGGTGACGTAGTTTTACTAGTCAATTCTAAACAAGAGAATCGTATATTCTTGGAAGAGCTTATCTTTGGGAAACTTCAGGGTTGGCAAAGACTAATCAGTTACTTTTTCTTTATTATAGGACCATCAAGCACTCTGTGAGTTTGCTCTTGTGAACTGTTCCCAATGCCAACACCCCTTTCAGAAATGCCAGTTGAATGTTCACATCCTCAAGGATTGTCCAAGGAGACAGGTTTCTTGTGTAAACTGTGCTGTATCCATGCCTTTTGAAGAAAAAGAGGTATGTACTGCTAGGATTTGTTCATTCCACTGCTTTGTTTTATGAAGTTCTAATGTACATTGGAGAAAGTTAAAAGATAAGGATATGACAGTAGTTGTGATTCTGCATTATTAATTTTTGGAAAATTGATTTTTAAGAAAGAAATGAAAATGCAGTAAGTTATAAATCTGGAGTTTATATTTGCATATTTTTCTTCTAAACATAGTTTATCCTAGTAACAATTGTTGTAGGTCTACTGGCACCAAAAGCTGCTTGGAAATGCATTTGCCAATCATAATCCTATATGTGTGGATTCTAATGACCAAACTGTCTGCAGACATAAAAATGATTACTATATAAGATTTATACAGGACTATCTTGTGAAAGAGAGTTGACTTGTTAAAAAGAATAAATTACATCCCATGAAGTAATATACCATTAGTGATCATTTATTACCCTATATACTATATTCACTTTTTAGTATATATTTTACATTTACATTAAAATGTCTGCCTTTTAAAAGAAGTTTCATGGTGCATGAAAGCATCAAAAAGATAAGAGCAGTTTTTCATTTAAAAATCAGGATATAGGGGCCAGGGATTTAGCTCAGTGGTTCTGCCACCTGCCTTGCAAGCGCAAGGTCCTGAGTTCGACCCCTGGTACCACCAAAAAAAAAAAAAAAAAAAAAAAAAAAAAAAAAAAAAAAAA